CACGTGTGCTGCAGACCAGAAGCCACATGCTGCACCCCACAAGCCACCTACTGCACCCCATAGGCATTGCTATATCCCACAGGCTACCTGCTGCACCCCACAGGCCATGCTGTGCCCCACAGGCCACACTGTACCCCATAGGCCACCTACTGTACCCCACAGGCCACGCTGCACATCACAGGCCATAGTGTACCCTACACACCACTTGTTGCACCCCACAAGTCACTGCACCCCACAGGCCACACTGCACACCACATGCCATATTACACCCCACATGTCACCTGTTGCACCCCACAAGTCACACTGCACCCCACATGCCACGTTGCACACCATATGCTATGTTATACCCCACAGGCCATGATACCTGTGCATCACATGTCATATTACACACCACACGCATTCTGCACACCACACGCCATGATGCACACCACACTGCACTCCACACACACGCTGCACACCATACACCCTAATATGTATATACCCATGCCATGTACACCATATCCATGTTACACAGAACACGTTACACACATGCCATGTTACATATTACACACTACACACATGCCACTCCATAGTAACACACCACAGAGCACATACCCTGCCATACTACTACTATACACTCACCAACCTAGAGGTGGGCAGAGGGGCACGGCCACTAGGTCCTGCCACACAGCAAACCTGGGTTTGCTCAGCCCTGGGTGGGGTGCCGCCGGGCAGGCCTACCTTTGGACGCCCCTTCTCTTTGAGCAGAGTCAGCCCTTCCCGCCTCGTGGGCACTTGGTTCTGCTGGAAGCGGGCCTGCATCATGTACTCGAAGGTGCTCAAGTGCTTGGCCACTGCAAGGGGAGGGCAGAGTCACCTGCAGCAGTGCCCGGCACCCATCTGCACCTACAGTGGCCTCCAGGGTAGAGGATACCCCACCCTGCCCAGGGAGCAGCCCCCGAGGCCAGGACAGGGTACGCTGGCTGTGCCGGCAGTGAGAGCCTGGCACCTCTCGTGGGAGAGATGGACTTTCAGGGGCCCTACTGCCCAAGTCTGGGCCCCCAGCCCTATCCAGCATGTTGTGGGATGTCAGCGAGGCACTCCCAAGGACCTCTTGTGCTCCTCTCCCTGCAGCTCGAGGGGCTGTTCCGGAACCCCCTGTGAGCCTGGTGGAGGCCAGAGGGCAGCTCAAGTCGGGCAGTGCCATGCCCACCTGGCAGGAGTGCCCGAGGGAGGGGTTCACTGCTCACAGCAGATGCGGTCACCTGGCCCCACCTGCCTTCCTCCTGAGACCTGGGCTGTGTGCCTGGGTGCTGAGGGAAGGCTGGGGGGGTGCCACCAGTCAAGGGGCCATCGGGCCACAACTCGGGGCTGCCTCAGCCTGCCCATTCCTCCCTCCTAAAGCTCAACAGGCACAAGTGCAGGGGGCTTGCAGCTGCCCCGGGACATGGCCAGGCCACATGGAGCCCTGCCGCAGCCCAGGAGACAGAGGCCCTCCGGGAGGCCTTCTGTGCCCATGCTGTGCTGCCGGGGAAGTGCCTCCTGGCTCCGCCTGCTCTGCACACCTCCCTGGCCTTGGAACCTGTGTCACAGGAGGAGCATCTAAACCTCGCTTGCCTCTCCTCCTGGGCTTCCCTGATGCCCTCCAAGACTGACCGGGCGCCTGTGCAGCTCCTGGGTCGCACCTGGCCTGGTGAGCTCCACATGAGCATTGCCATCTGATGGTCAGAGTGGGCAGGGTGTGTCACCCCCCCCCTGAGAACCCAAGGCAGAACCCTGTAGAGCAGATGAGCATCCTGCATGTCCTTCAGCACGTCCAGGTGCCAGCGGTCAGCTTGGGCAGTCCTGGACCTGTCCTTGGTCTCCTCCGGGTGTTCTTGCCCTTTTTGCCTCCGTGGAGCCTCTGCACTCTCTGGGCACTGAGCTTCACCTGTCTGCTTCATGGCGGAGCCTGAGGGCCCCTGCCTCATGAGCTCCCACCTGGCGCTGGCCCTTGATTGGGGGCTGGGCCTGGAGGCCTGTGCCACAGCGAGGCTATTGCCAGGCCACCTGCCCTCTCTCCTGCCTTCCTGATGACCTGCTCTGATGAAGCCACACCAGTGTGTGACGTGCAGGCACACCGCAGCTACACTGTGCGCAGAGAAACCAGCCTGTCAGCCACGGGATCAGGAGGCTTGAGTGTGGCCATCCACACACACTGCCAGCTGGTCTGCAGGCCTCCAGGCCCAGAGCAGCTGACCAGCAGGGTCGTCCTGGCCACGACACATCTCTGTGGCACAGCTGAATACCAGGGTCAGATTTCTTGGATGGACAGCATGAAGGTAAGTCCTGGTCAGTCCTGGAGGAGGGGACAGCCCCTTGCTGCTCTTTGCCCACAGTCCTCCATACCAGCAGGGGCGGAGAGGCCCTCGGTGCTCTTCCTGCCTGTGCCCACCTCCATGCGCTGGGATGCCCTGGGCACTCCTCTCAGGGGTGTTCCCAAGCCCTCGCCTGGCCTGGCGACCTGAGCACTGTCATCAAGGAGGGTCCAGGACTGAGGCAGTCAGAACAGGAACCTGGGGCCCTGCCGACTCCCGCGGGAGTCCTGGAGCCCTCCAGGTGCAGGTGCTGCCCGTGCACAGGGCCTTCCTTGCAGACTGGGCCCAGGTGGGTAGGCAGGCACTGCTCCTGAGGCTTGGGGACCAGGTCTGGGTCCTCCGCTGGCCTTGCTCCTTCTGTGGAAGTTGCTGACGCAGAGTGCCTTTGAGTGTCTGCAGCTGGTGGGGGCTGTGCGGAAAACCACTCCCTGCAGAGAAGAGAAGCAGCCAGCACAGAGGCCTCTGCTGGACTCCGGCCCCATGGAGCATCCTCACCTCGTCCAGCCGACATCTGTGGCCTCTGAGTCTGGGAGGGCAGGCACCTCGCGGAATTCAGGAGGGGCAGGGCTGGTGCCCCGAGCTGCAGAGGTGAGGTCTGTTGGGACGAGCAGATACTCGGGGGCACACACGGCCTGTGGCGGGCAGGAGATCCTAGGAATTCACGGGACCTGCTTCCCTGGCATGGAGGCACCCAGGGCTCCACCTCCAGGCCCTGGAGAATCTTTGACGGGTCCTGGAGTACAGGAGGAAATTCAAGCTGCAGGGCCAGAGCCCCTGGGCTCCTCCTCAGCCTGACACCCACACCAGGCCATGTGACTGGGGAGTTCTCGCCCTAGGAGCCAGGTGGGCCTCTTGGACGTCTGGGATGCAGAAGCGAGAGGGTGTTGTACCAGGCTCTCAGGCTCCAGCCCAGGCCCCTTGCTGTGGGCTGGTGCTCTGGGCCTGGGTGTCTCATCTTCCCATGGGAGGGGGCACACTGCTCTGCAGGTCCCTTTGGGCCCCTGGCTGTGTCCATACATAGCACCACTGGCTTTCAGTGGGCCACAGAAGTCCACCACGTTCCCGGGGTCCTGCTCCCCTACAGAGATCTCCTTCCTGCCATGTTGAGAGCCACAGCCCAAG